AAAGAGTTAAAGGAAATAAAAACACTAAGGCTCAGTGCGGGACCTATCATCACTGTTATCAATATTTGTCTCTAATTGAACTTTTCTTACAGTACAAAATCTTCTAAGGCTTTCATTCCAGAAAATCTGGCCTGGGTGTTTAAACAGCAATGGCAATAAAATGGGCCATGTTGAGTACTTGTTACTTTGCGGTTTGTGTTGGCTGACAACTCTCAAGTTTCTCAAGTGTGGCCTTCCAAACCCATAGCAGAGTGATCATTATCTCCCTAAGTCACTGTCGCAAGGAAACTTAGGGCAGGTCTCCCTACCTTGGGTGCTGAGATGCTGCTCAGCAAGTGCCCAGTGTCATAACCTTACCCTATTTGAGTGTTTTAGAAAAATTTCTTCCTTTGCATAGTTTCCTGCACCAAGTTACAGTTCCCTATTGTGCTCAGAGTCACTGAAAGATATTAAAATTACATGAAACTCCTTACCTAGATCTTTTCCCCCATGACACCCACATAGTTATGCAAATAGAAACCTGAGATAGCTCCTCCATATGCTCTCAAAGACCTCCATGGGAGGATATACCCCACTGTATTGTGATTATATGGTTGCTTTTCTGTGTCCCTCAGAAAAGGTAGAGGATAGAGAACTCCTTAAGAGTAGAGGACTGTGCCTTGTCCCTCTCTGTATCTGCATGTCCTTGCACGTTGCCTTGAACATGGTAACCTGTGAATAAATCTTCACTAATTCATCAATGTCAAGTATCTCTACCTGGAAGACTGTTATTCACTTATGTATGTTTTTGCTTTTTTTGTTCTGGTGTAGGTCTTTTTTTATTCTCCCCACTATATAGCTTTTGCTCTAGATTCCTATCCTTTAAAATCAGCAGACTTTGGGAATTCCCTGACAGTCCAGTGGTTAGGACTTGGCGCTTAACTGCAAGGGGCATGGGTTCGATCCCTGGTAGGGGAAATAAGATCCCACGTGCCCCCCCCCCCAAAAAAGTAGACTTTTAGACCACAAAGCAAGATCTTTTGGCTGTACATCCTGTGGTTTTCTGAGAAACTACTAAAAGAACAATTCCTGGTGCAAATTATTTTCATGGGAGAGGTCCAATTATTTTTCTCCTATTTAGCAGTTCAAAATATTTTTCACACATACCTTTATGTGATAGTTTCCTGCCAGGTGGACATATCTGATTCATATGGAAAATTTAGCACTATGTCTGTGAAAGGGTGAGTAGAGTCATAAAGCACCAAAAATAATTATGCTTTGCATTCGTTTACTGTGAACACATTAGCATACATTATCATGTTCCAGCCCCACCACAGTGATGCTGAATGAATGGAATAAGTATCAATACCCCATCGTACTATGAAGAAATTGAACTCCAAGGAAGGAAGTGATGTCTCCAAGGTCACCTAGCTAGTTGCAACAAATGCACAAAAACTTGGGTCTTTCAACTCTGCAGTGTGATGCACTTTGGACCATGCTAGGAAATGAAATGTGTTGCTTAGGTGGAATTTTATAGACAATAATAGCAAGCAGGGAAAAGAAATAGATGCAAAAACAAGAGCACTGGTTACTAGCTCTAAAGAAGGCAAACTGTGGAGGAATCAAGAGAGAACCTGGAAGAAACGAGCTGTGGAAAATTTTATTTGAAAAGTTGGTGCTGTTTTGTTTGGGTAGAAGCAAGGAGAAAAGTTGTGCTCTTATAAGAGCATCTGATCAGAGAATAAGGAATACACTTTTTTACCATGTTTCAATAGTGTAAGATTCATCTCCTCACACTGGACCCCTACAAAATTCTATGAGGCATCCTCTCTCTGAGAATTTGATTTCTTCTCTGATGGCAGTTAGGTGGATGACAGGAAAATGGGTTGGGTGTGGGTCTCCACAGACAAACACTTTACAGTGAGGATTAGAGCACCTAGTTCTCTCCCTACTTAGAGAATGACAATATATTTGCTTTCCCTGGATTAACTTTTAAGGATGAAAAGCAAAGGTGTTGATGTGGAAAGGAAGAATCATTTAAGGACTATCTGACCTTGTTGTAGGAATTTTGTGTAGTTTCTTTTTTAGGTTTGCATTTTCAGCTTTTTAATTTTAATTTTATTTTATTGTAATTAATTAATTAATTATTCATTCATTCATTTATTTTGGCTGCATTGGGTCTTAGTTGCAGCACTCAGGATCTTTGTTGAAGCGTGCCGGCTTCTCTCTAGTTGTGGCATGTGGGCTCCAGAGGGCGCCGGCTCAGTAGTTGCGGTGCACAGGCTTAGTTGCCCCGTGGCCTGTGGGATCTTAGTTCCCGACCAGGGATCAAACCCACATCCCCTGCTTTGGAAGGCGGATTCTTAACCACTGGACCACCAGGGAAGTCCCTGTGTAGTTTTTTTTTAAAAAAATAATATATCAGCCATAAAAAGAAATGAAATTGAGTTATTTGTAGTGAGGTGCATGGACCTGGAGTCTGTCATACAGAGTGAAGTAAGTCAGAAAGAGAAAAACAAATAACCATATGCTAACACACATATATGGAATCTAAAAAAAAAAAAAAAAAAAGGTTCTGAAGAACCTAGGGGCAGAATATGAGTAAAGATGCACATGTAGAGAATGGACTTGAGGACATGGGGAGGGGGAAGGGTAAGCTGGGACGAAGTGAGAGAGTGGCATGGACATATATACACTACTAAATGTAAAATAGATAGCTAGTGGGAAGCAGCCGCATAGCACAGGGAGATCAGCTCGGTGCTCTGTGACCACCTAGAGGGGTGGGGATGGGGAGGGTGGGAGGAAGACGCAAGAGGGAGGAGATATAGGGATATGTGTATGTGTATAGCTGATTCACTTTGTTATACAGCAAAAACTAACACACCATTGTAAAGCAATTATACTCCAATAAAGATGTTAAATATATATATATATATATATATATATATATATATAGTTTAGTTTAAATAGCCTAAAGGATTATTTTGTATTTGTTCTTTTAATAATCCCTATCCATCAAGTTGCCCTCAAGGAGCTCACATTCTAGAAGGAGAGAGACAATACATTTGTAAGCAAGTTAATGAAGAAGATCATTAGGTCTGAAAAGCTATGTTTTGTGGGGACACTTTGTTGTTGTGCTGAGCCTAAGCACATTTTGGGCTTTCTAGTACCCAAATGGAGATGAAAGAGTCTCTTCCCCAAACCACAGGCCTGCATCTGAGGCTCTGCCTCTACCATGGCTCTAGTCAGGAGCAACATCATCAAAAATGAGATTTATACACCTGAAACTAACACAACATTGTAAATCAACTGTATTTCAATTTTTAAAAATTTTTAAGTGAGATTTAATACTCCCAGTTAAAATTCACCTGATGAAATGACCATGTGTTGCTTTATTTTTATTCTAGGAATCTTGGAAAATCAGGACTCAGAGTTTCTTGCTTGGGTCTTGGTAAGTACTCAGGGTATCATGTGGGGGTGGGCTGGGAGGTGGGAGATTGGGGAGGATACCAGGGAATGACTGGGGTGTAGGTCAGGACCCAGTCTCAGGTGAGAAGGGACTTCGTGACCAACATCGCCTCACTTCTCCTTCTGAGCCTTTCCTGCCCCACACAGCCCTCCCCTTCTCAGACCCAAGGAGTCACTGTGATCATGATGCCTTGTGGGGGCCCATTAAGCAAAAAGAAACCTGATATTAAAGCACATCTTAGAGGAAGAGACTCCTTTGTTATTCCCATTTAGCAAGTGTGAAGAACCTCATGGCATGTGTTTATTTGTATGCTCACCTCACTTGCAGCATCATATGAATATTTTTCTATCCTTATCTTCCCTTTGCCTAATTTTCTCACTTTTTTCTATATTTTAATGTATTTTATGTACTTTTATAATGTACCTTATATGTTTTAGGGACAAAGTTTTATATATACATTTCCCCCCAGAAACTGTAAATATTTAAAGAATAGTTAGTAGAGATGGCAATTTTAACATCATAAGAATGAATCTGAAATGGTAAAATCTGAGTGTGAGACTTGGGGTAGCATACAGCTTCCAGACATCCCCCAGACAAGGGAAAAGGCAGCCTTGGTGTTCAGGCAATTCAACATCATCAGAACTATTTCTGTAACCTAAGAGAGTCTAGACCAGGATGGTAGCTGAGGAAGTCGTGAGAAATGGTCAGATTATAGCTATGTTTTGAAGGTCAAGCCTGGCAGATCTGTTGGACTCTATTTGGGATGCAAGAGAAAAGAGAAGAGTCAAAGATGACTGTAAGGGTTTTTTTTTTTGCCTGAGAGACAGAAAAGATGGAGTTGCCAGTAAGTGAGACGTGGAAGAATGAAGGAAGAAAGACTTAGGAAGGAGGGAGAACCAATTGATTTGGGACATATTAGACATCCAAGAAAAGAGGTATATAGGCTAATGGATATATGAACCCAGAGTTTAGAAGAGAGATGTGAGCTGGATGTGGGATGACTTGAGAGTCACCAACGTGTAGATACTGTTTAAGCCATGAGACTGAATACGAATATTAAGGGAGTGAGCATAGATATTACAGAAAACAAAAGCACATGGTCTGTGACCTGGGAAGTCCATTGAGAAGTTGGGGAAATGAGGAAGAGCCAACAAAGAACATTGAAAACAAGCAGTGGGTATGGAGGAGGAGAAGCAGGAGACCAGGGAGTCCTAAGAATCCAGCGTTTCAAGAGGGATGGAGACCAGCCCTGTCAAATGCTGCACATAGGTCAAGCAAGATGAGGGCCAAGAATTGATCATTCAGTTTAGCAACATGGAAGTCACTGATGACTTTGAAAAGATCGGTTTTGTTGGAGTCAGGGGCTCACGCATGATTGGAATAGGTTCAAAAAAGCATAGAAAGAGAAACACTGGTGGCCGCTCTTTTGATGACTATTTTTATAAAGAGAAGCCTAGAAATGGAATGGAAGCTGGACAGGCAAGTGTGGTCAGAGAGGGTATCTTTACACACAAAAGAAATGACAGTATATTTACATACTGATTAAGAAATTCTTTTGAGAAGGAAAAAAATGGTTAAGATAAGTAGAGGAAAAAAAATACCTGGAATGATTTCTTGAGGACACAAGAGGAAAGTAACATGAAAGAAGGCAGAGTACATGGGCTTTGAGGCTGGTAGGTGGGTTGATGGGGTGGCAGTGGCAGTATCTTTAGAAATTATCTTCTACTCCTTCTATATTCTCAGTGAAATCAGAAGCAAGGTCATCAGCTGTTAGTGAGGATGAAAGGGAGGTGTTGAAAGTTTGAGGAGAGAGAGGATGATGAGAGTAGAAGAGTGAATGGACCAAAGGGATGGATCAAAGTGGCCAGACAGCATTAAGGATCTGCTTGAGATTCATGCTAATAAATTTGAAGTGAGACCATCTCTGTGGCCGTGTGTTTTTCCTACAGTCATGTTCAACCATGCAGGTCCAGGTGGGGTTTTTCAAGGGCATAAGATAAGAAAAGAGAGGCAGAAATGCTGAGAGTTTATGCAGAGGGGTGATTGTAATGGTGGACTTTGGGGTTGAAGCTGAGCAGGGAGGAAAATGAGGACTGAAGCCAGGAAAATCAGGAGGCAGAGGGACAGTGAAAAGTGGACAGGATCAGTGAATTGTACCTCCAGAGGCCCAAAGGATTGTTGGAGTAAGATCAGCAGAGATAGTAAGTTGGAAGAATAGAAAGTGGTGGTTTGAAAGGGGGATGCTTGAAACTGAGGTCATGGGGGGTTCAGCTATTGGTAATGACAAAGTCTAAGGCATGTCCATTGGGAGAGAGTGGCTGAGGTTGTGCTGAGTGCAAGATCAGTAGACCAGAAGAGGTCAAGGGCCTGAAAGATAAAGGTTCAGGGAAGGATTACTTTGGGGGTCATTGAAATCACTAAAACGTATGGCAAAACTAATATTGGAGAGAGTGACGGTGAACCAGAGCTAAAATTTTCAGATGAGAGGGATTGCCTAGGGATGGGTAAGTGACTGCAACATGAGGGGACTGATGATGTGAGATCCAAAGCTGGTTGGGGGGAGGAATTGGGAGGAGGGTTTGTTGAACCCTGTTGAATGGAAGTGTGGAGACCAGGGAAGGGATGGTAGTGAAAGAATAAAAGATAGTGGCAACAAAAAAATAAAAAATAAATAAAAGATAATGGCAACAATTTCTGCCTCCTTTTACAGTATTGCAAAAACATTGAAGGCTAGTGATGCCTGAGTTTTTCTGATTCTTCTTAATGATATGATTTGGGAGGTGAGGGTGGTCTTTGCTCACCATAGGACTAAGGGAATTTGACAGTTGCTTAATTTATGGCTTTGATTTTGTTACCACTTACTTGTATTTGAAAGACCCTGTAGATTCATTATCAGGGATATTCTAACCTTAGTTTTTTTTGAGAGTGCTTAATGGTAAATAACTATTCACTATTTATTATTGAAAGAAATTAAGAAATATAGCAATTTAAGAAAATATGAATTAAGAAATACAGTAAACAATCATACACAATTATCTCATAGAATCAGTATCTATGGTGGAAAATAATTTCATCAAAAGTACTGAGAAAACTCAACCAAAAGTCCTAAGACTATAAAAAATTCAGGTGCCTATGAAGTGCCACATGTAAATGAGTCTCCAGAGGGCAGACTACAGTTTTTTAAAACTGTGTGTGAGCTGTAGCTATTTTGGTGAACTTTGAAACAGACTTGATTCAGGAGCAGAAAGTCCTGATTTGAGCTTCAAGTTTTTTCTAAGAGCTTGAATGCTTGTGATTAGACACTGCATGAAAAATTAGGAGGAAACAGGGAAGTTCATGGGATTGACTGGCTTCATTCAAAACAGGTAACAAAGCTTGAATAAGTATTTCTCTGAGAACTTTTCTGAGCTACCTCTATAAACCATAGGAGACCAAAAAAAATCATAGAAGGGAATAATGCACCAGCCTTAGATAATTTGTCAGGCTCTGCAGACCTCAGCTCTCAAGTCCAGGTGGAGCTGGGTTTACTGTTATAGGCTTGGGATATCAGTTCAGATACAGCCCGTGTTCAACTGAGGCTTTGAAAATTAAGTATTAAATATTCCAAGCAAACACACAACTACAGATGTCTTTTATTGAAGTACCTTAAAGGTCATATTAAAGCTAACAATTCTGACTTTCTTCTCCACCAGAGAAGGACAGGCTGGGAATTTCTTGCCCTGCCAAGCTTCCTTTTGATAAACTAAGAGCATATGTAAATGGGAGCAGAAAGGTGAAATAACCCAAGGACAAACTGAAGATACATCTAAAGGAACACAGTTCTGCTAACAAAAGAATAGGGGAAAAAAATAAAGTGGAAACCTGCCTGTGGGCTGCTGTGGCTAGACTGGTTTGTTAATACACTGACCACTGCTATCAAGACCCAAAGTCAAAGAAACTGATGGGAAGGGAGAAAATCCACCAAAGTGATTGAACATCATCTCAGTCTAGTGGGAAGTGGGATCATCTTCTGAGAGAAGAAGAGAGAATTTATGTATTCATTCATGCATTCACTCATTCATTCTCAGCAAACATTTAGGAAGCCAGGCATCATGCTGGTTGCAGGGGATATCCAGATGAAAGAAGCAAGGGCCCTGCTCTCAAACTGCTCACAGCATAGTAGGAGTCAGGCACACAAAAATAGTGCATTGGACGGATGCCGTGATGGAGAGTACAGGATGAATCAAGCATGAGGAAGGTCTCCTGGGGAATCTGGAGCAGCTTCACAGGGGAAGTGCTGCTTGAGTTGAGCCTTGAAGGGAGTCATTAAGTAGAGAAAGAGGGCAAAGGATGCAAGACAGAGGAGGCAACACGAGCAATGGCCTGGAGGGAGACCCATGGAGCAGGAGGTACTGTGGGAAACACTAGTGTATGTGCAGAATATTTTGAATGCAGGGTATTAGGGAACCACAAGAACCGAGCCTGGAAGGAAAGCTAGGCCTGATCGGGAGGGCCATTGTTTGCCTTGCTATGGCATTGAGCTCTAGTCCTCTAGGTCTCTGGTGTTCCTCCAAGTCCTACATCCCCAAGGTCTCAGGGAATACTTGGGGGATGAGGCACAGACTGGGCTCCACCTCTCTCTGCCCTCCTCCTTCCATTGCCACCGCTTCCATCAATGTAGCTCCACTTTTTCTAAATGCAAATATAAATATGACTTTTAGTGTAAAATTAAATGTAAAATTTTAATGTAGTATGTCATAAATGACTTCATGTTTTAGAACAGGAGTAGGTTCACAGCAAAATTGAGCAGAAAGTGCAGAAATTTCCCCTTACCTCATATGCACACAACTTCCCCCACTATCAACAACCCACATCATAGTAGTGCATTCGTTACAGTCCTGCACTGACACACCATTATCACGACTATAGTTTACATTGGGTATATGTATAACTTTGGTGTTTTACATTCTATGGGTTTGGACAAATGTAATGACAGGTATCTG